AAAGAGAACTACAGTCTCCCAATGAACATAGATGCAAAAATACTCAATAAGATACTGGCAAACAGAATACAGAGTATTGTCAAGATGATTATACATCCTGACCAATTTGGATTTATCTCAGGGATGCAAGTATAGTTCAACATACATAAATGAATAATTGTTATGCAGTATATTAACAGACTCGAGGAAAAAAACCATATGACCATCTCAATAGATGCAGAAAAAGCGTTTGACAAAATACAACACCCATTCATGATAAAAACCCTATAGAAAATTGAAATAGGTGGGCTTTATCTCAAGCTGATAAAGTCTATTTATGAATAACCAATAGCCAACATCATACTAAATGGTCAAAAAGTGAAAACCTTCATGTTAAAATCAGGAACAAGACAAGGATGTCCACTATTACCACTTCTGTTTAGTATAGTTCTGGAAACATTAGCCACAGAAAGTAGACAAGAAAAAGAAATAAAAGGAATAAAGATAGGAATGGAAGAAGTTAAACTGTCACTATTTGCTGATGATATGATACGCTACATAGAAGATCTAAAAAACTCTGTTAAAAGACTTCTAGACTTAATTGACAGATTCAATAGTGTAGCAGAATACAAGATCAACGCTCAAAAAACAATAGCCTTTTTGTACACAAATAGCAGTCTCACTGAGAAATTAGGGAAACGGTTCCTTTCACAATAGCATCCCCCCCAAAAAAAAGAAAAATATAGGAATCAATTTAATAAAGAAAGAAAAAGACCTCTACATTGAGAACTACAGCACTCTGGTAAAAGGAGATCAAAGAGGATATCAGAAAATGGAAAGACTACCCCATTCTTCAGAGGAAGAACCAATGTAGTGAGAATGGTCATACTTCCAAAATTATACAGATTCATTGCAAACCTGACTGAAATCCCAGTAATATACTTCACAGAACTAGAGAAAACAATCCAAAAATTCATTTGGAACCAGAAGAGACCTGTTATAACAAAAGCAATTCTAGGCCACAGAGACATGATAAGGGATATCACAATCCCAGACTTGAAACCATACTACAAAGCTACTGTGATAAAAACAGTATGGTCCTGGCAAAGACAAAGACCTGAAGATCAGTGGAACAGTATATATATGAAAATATTTGAGAAAAGGAAAAAATGGAAACCAAGTCTTTGTAACGAAGGAAGGATGGAGGGGCTGAAGGGAGGGCAATGGAATGGGGAGAAATAATAACCAAGATACATCATGTAAAGGTACAAGATCCCAAGGATGAAAGTAATTGTACTGTATACCTAAAGTGTATCAACAAACAGTGAAAAACAAAAAGGAAATGCACTGTTAACTAAAATACATTGGTTTTATTGCAGTGTTGAAAAGTTTCCTTAAGAATAAAATTTAGAATTAAAAGTAAAAATAGAAAAATATTTGTAACACAAATGAATATATGATTTCACTGATGGCAAATCTGTAGAAAAAGAAAATTGTAGTCTACAGGCTCCAACTTACACACAGAAAATATCCAAAAGTTTTAAAGTCCAACAAAGGAATCATTTGATTAAATATTCATAGTCATAATAATCATACTGGGACATGGTAAATGACTTGAAAATAGTAGGAATATCTTGGATAGACATAAGAAGCAGATATTTAAAACTAGGAAAAATACGTTACAAAATGTTTGGGTTAATCCTTGAACACTACTGATAACTGAGACTCAGAAAGTACATCAGCTCTACAAGGATCTATGTACCTTTTTAAGAATGAGAGCATCAGGATGAAGAATGAGATTATGTTACGTGCAATCCAGCATAAACTTTCCACCCTCCACCTTGGGGCTGCTTTGGTCTGCCACCCTAATGGTGTGCCTTCTATAGCAGAGGGTTTCCCTCAAGTTCCTGTGGCCAATTAACAGCAGCTTGGGGCTTTTCCCTTCTGATGAGTAAGCTGTTCATGGGCATGTCTCAGAGGCTTCCTCAGCTTAGAGACAGTTACACTCTACACCTTCCTGCTTAGCCTATATACACCTGATTCTTCGTATTTCACCTTCTTACTGAATTTGGAGAAACCAAGTAGTTTGGTTTTAAGCACTACACAAATTATAAAATGACAGAGATGTTACAGGCTTTTATTCAGAAAAAATTCATTGTTGGCTTGCCATCAGTGAATTTGCACTTGGATTTTTTTTTTTTCTTGTGCAAGCAATAGATTCACTCTTGGCAAGCTTCCCTGTAATCTCCCTTTGTGACTAAAGGCGCCACATGGTCATGGGCAGAGCAAGTCTGATATGACTCAAAGAGACAGAACCATACTCCTGGACTCAGAATTATGTGGTTTAATTAGCTCGGCGAATCAGCCACAACCTCCTCAGAGTGTCACGATTCTTAGGTGGCAGAAAGCGGAAATTGAATCTGACTATGGAAAGCCACACACACACACACACACACACACACACACACACACACACACACACACACACACACACACAGGAAAATTTGAAGGAAAAGCTGAAAAACCAGGATTGCAATGTACTAAACTGAACCAAGGGCGCTGCATAGTACTAAGACCTAATGTGCCCCCACCCACTTTACGTAGTAGTGGGAGAAGCAGTATTTTTGACCTTGTGTCTTTCTGTTCGAGATTCAGTCTAGCAAGTCAATTTGATTATCAAAGCAGGATCTCATGACCATGCCTGAAGAAGGGAGACTCACGTGTGCTCAGTCAGTTCCAGAACGCCACTGGGGAGATGTTTCCCAAAGAACACACAGCCGTCCTCACCAGAAAGAAAAGGGAGGTGGATCTGATGCAGTGGAACCAGCAGAAGTCCAAAACACTAAAAACTGATCAAGTGCGGAAGGACAGAGACTAATGGAGCTGAGGGGATACTGACATGTATCTAGACCACACAGTGATGAGGCCGATGAAAGAGTTATCACGATCTAGTTTTGTGTAATAGTTTTAAATGAGGCATTTAGCAGCTGTGTTTTTCTCCAGGCTTTCCATGCTGCCCAACTCCGAGTCTCTCTCCAGTCGGCATAGTTTATCCACCTTCCCTAATTTCTTCTAACCACCCCTCCTTGTTTTTACCAAATTCTGACTTAAAGTTTGTTTCTTTTTAAACCGTTTTTTAGATTAAAAAATAAATGAAACACCAAGGGCGTCTTGACTTTTAATATTTGGTAATGGTGATTTAAATTTGTAAAATTCAGAGTTGAACATCATTAGGTGCAGAAGGACAGGAGAAAAATCAGAAGCGCTTGAAGATGCCTTCTGAGAGCTCTGGTAGCCGATCAAAGGCTTCCTCCTGCGGTGTAGGGTGGAGATGAATGATGATCTCTTCTTTTCTCTCAGAGTACAAATCAGGCCGGCATTTTGAAAGAGACAGGTTTGTTCATTGCTTCAGCATTAGAAAGCCTTGTGCCTGTAAAATTTTACTTTTGGTTTTTAAAATATTCACTGTAAAAAAGGAAAAAATGGAAACAAAGCCTTTGTAAATAGGGAAAGGGGAAAGGGGTGAACGGAGGACAGGGGTGTGGATAAAAACAAAAGAACCAAGATATGTCAATGTAAAGGTACAAGATCCCAATGATAAATGTAACTGTATTGTTTGCTTTAAATGTACCAATAAACTTAACAGGGGAAATAAAAGAAATCTTCACTGTAGGAAACAGATTTGTAACTCATTTCTCATATTACCTATAGTCAGAAAAACAAAATTTGATATCCTGGAGTTTATTTGCCGAGGGCACTTCCCATAAAAGCGAATGAGTGATCATTGGGAAATCTGTCTGGTTCACTCCTTTATGGATAAACATTAGTCACGACTGTCTCCCCCCACCACACTCACACACACACACACACACACACACACACACTCTTTAGCCCAGCACCCTCCCACCTCCTGAGTTCCCGCCCGCCTTGCTAGGGCTGGTGACCTAATAGCATTTTTCTTCATGCATATTTTGGCGTCAGCCCATGGCCTGGCTGCCTTCTCCTGTCTGAGTCTTTTGAAATTCCTGCATGCTTGCCCCAGATTAAGCTGAGTGCGTCTCGGGATGTGTGCAACGTTTTGTTCTTTCCCCTTAAAGCGCCTCGTGCAACGTGTCTGGGGAGGAGGGCGGGCCGGGGGGAGGACCTAATAGCATTTTTCTTCATGCATATTTTGGCGTCAGCCCATGGCCTGGCTGCCTTCTCCTGTCTGAGTCTTTTGAAATTCCTGCATGCTTGCCCCAGATTAAGCTGAGTGCGTCTCGGGATGTGTGCAACGTTTTGTTCTTTCCCCTTAAAGCGCCTCGTGCAACGTGTCTGGGGAGGAGGGCGGGCCGGGGGGAGGAGA